CATGCCACCCATACAAAACCGCCGCCCCCCCTGTCAGGTCATGTCCCGCCCGCCCGCCACCGAAAAGGTACCCCGCACGCCGCGCAGGGATCGCCTTTCCGAGGTGAAAAGGCGCGCCTCATCCTCGCTAGACGTAATACATGTCGTGGCTCGGCAATCCACTGTGCGGCTTCACCGCCGACGAGGACGCTTTCAAGGCCACGGCGGCCCAGTACAACTATTGTTTGCTCTTCGATCTCGTGCCTCAGTGACATAGGCTTGGTTGGCTAATCCCAGAACCCTACTGCTCTGGCGCCCATACCCAAGTATCATCTTCCTGGCTCCAGCGCCGATATCTGCCGTACGTTGTATCCCAAATCCAGTCTCCAGATCGGGCACTGGTTTGAACTTCTGATTCCGCGTCTTGCGACCCCTCTGCCATCCGCCACCTTTGTCGCCGCCCAACTTGAACCCATTGAAGAAGATGTCACCGAAGCGCAAGTACTCCTACAGCCAGTAGTCCTCGCTATACCACTTGTGCCACGTATCGACCCAGCTCTTTTCTTCTTTCGATCTGCCTCGCCCCCATTTCGGATCAACAAAGTGCCCCTAGCGAGTATTCCACTCCCGTACACCGTCGAAGAGGTCGCCAAGGAAGAAGACGGTGTCTGGGCGGAGCCCTGATTATGGGGACTGGTAGCCGCGACGGAGGTAATTGTCGGTGACAAGGACGGTCAGCGCGGAGAGTGGCCACGGCCGGCTCGGGTAGGAATGAGGATCGATGATCTGCGGGCCGGCGAGCAGGATCAAGTGGTGAGGCGTTGCACCTTTCAGCTAGTTGAAGAACATCAGTACGCATGCATGAAGTCGAGGAAGCACCCACCCAACTCTCCCAATTATCCCAGTCACAGGTCTCCACCTTGCTGTCAAAAACCCATCTCTCACCCCATAGCAGTATGATGCTCAACAAGCGCTGGGCCGTGAGGTTCCTGCGAGAGCGGTGCGCCAACCTTGAAGCCGTGGCCAGCACCAGCTGCCTACCAGTATTGGACACCCAGGCCAGGGACAGCATTGCAAGGGGTATTGTGCGCGCAATCACGCGGTATGCGTTGAGGCGTGCCATCATGATGTCTGCTCCATTCCTGCATTAGGTCTGTCATCCGGGGCTTACAAAAATGCGATTGGTGGCGTTTGATGCAAAAGTGGATCGAGTCGAGAAAGAGCGAGGCGTGGCAGATCCAGCAGGAGCCAGGGTAGGATGCGTGATATGGGTGACGCAGCGCGACCGCGTCTGTTAGAAAATCACGTGAGAAGTCACGTGCGCAGAGCGATTCAATGCCATCCAGATCTAGATACTCTCAGCTAGACATTGGGGATTCGTTCCTCAATCTGAGCATTCAACGTCAGCGGCATTGGCCAGGGATAAATAGAGGAGGAGCGGTCGTCTGGCGGTTGAGCCGAGCGCCGCTGGTGCAAAGGCATCCAAGTCCAATCCTTAAAGCAGCCATACAGAAGGCTGAGTGCTAAGTAGCGTTAGTCATCGGAAAGAGACCTCCCATTGTGGAACTTTTCTGTTGTAAATACAGAATGGCCACCTGCAGCAACTCATTTCGCTGCAGCTTTATAGTGAACATTAAGTGGTGACATACAGCGAAGGTTTAACGATCTCCAATTCAGGGCCCGAGTCACTACGCTATTGCCGGCCGGACAGTGTCTAGCCACGCGCTACATGGGCTTCCCCACGACATGTGAAGGCACTGGATAATCCTGTTTGACTAAGGGTCCATTGTGACGTGATGTCGAAATTTCCAAAGATGCAGTTCAAGATAGATGCTCCCCTCGATCCTATCGCTTCCATCACACACGTTATAGACAGGACGCCAATGCCTCCGAGAAGAACCAGACGCTTCAATTCTCCAAGCTGAACACCACCCGTCATGTCCTCCACCAACGGGACGGTTCTTGTCTCTGGCCCCAACGTCATCCAGACGCAGGACTTCTACGTCAAGGCTGGCGTCCTTCACCCCTTCATCATCGGCTCCATTGCCGTTATCACCCTCTTCGTCTACCTCCGCTTGGGCAGCAACCGCTCCATTGCGCCCTTCACCGTATTCGACTGGGTCGTCAATGTCGCCCTCGGCAGCACCCTCGCGGGCATCGTCAACGGCAACTCCCTCGTGCGCGGGCTCCTCGCGCTGGCCACGATGCTGACCTTCCAGTACCTCATCTCCATGTTCTGCACGCGCTTCGAGCGGCTCGAGTGGCTGGTCCAGGGACAGCCGCTGGTGCTGGTCTTCCGGGGGAAGATGCTGCAGAGCGTGATGCACAAGCACCGCATCTCGTGCGGCAACCTGAACGCGGCGCTGAGGCAGAACGGGGTGGCGAACATCTGCCTGGTGGAGTGCGCGATTGTCGAGCCGAACGGGAGCATCAGCGTATTCACGACGAAGGAGCTGGAGAACGCGGGCGTGAGCCCGGATACGCTGTTGGCGGTGACGGCGTATAAGGCGCTGTGTGAGCAGCTCGAGGAGACACTGGGATCCGGCACGGACGGAGGCAAGAACGAGGGTCAGGGAACTGGAGCAGATGGCGGATGTGAAGCGAGCCATGAGCAGGACTCTGTCGCTATTCGGATATGCTGATCAGAGGTTTACGGCTCCAGGTACATGGGGCCAGAAGTTTGCTTCTCTCATGGATTGAGCTGAGAGATTTAATGATGAGCGAGTTCATGACAGCAATGAATAAAAGCGACAATATGCTCTTCGATCTGATGGCTAAGGCATTAAACAGCTGCGCGTGACCCACTTGGTTCCCTGCGACGTACCTGCCTGTACTGACCCAGATGCTGAAGGCCCTGCCGGCCATGACGACACGATCCTCAACTTCGCCAAAGCATACCATCGTCGATCATTGGCCTTCTAGAGCCATATTCCATATTGTCGGCCATCCGACCTCTGTGGAGACTCCTGCAACAGTCTTTCCCATGGACGACGATATCGCAGTGACCACAATTACGGGAGCAACGGGATCATGTAGAGGAAGCCAATAGGGATCGGGAACGCGAGCGGCTACGTGCAGAATCCGAACGACTACGTGCAGAGGAAGCCGGCAGGGACCGCGATCACGAACGGCGACGCGCAGAATCCGAACGGCGACGCGCAGAAGCTGCCAACAGGGACCGCAATCGCGAACAGCGACGCGCAGAATCCGAGCGGCGACGTGCAGATCAAGCCGAATACCAGTCAAGATCGACCACGCTTATCGAGTACATCCGCGAAACCCATCGACTCCTTGAACTGAATGTCACCACGGAGTCCGACAAGAGTCTCACGTCCAAGGGTACTATCACCAATCCCCGAAGCAAGTATGTGCCCTCGATACTGTCCGCCTGGCGGAATTTCTTGGAGACGCAGAGCAGGATTCTAGGAAGACTATACTCGACATTTCCAGCCGACAGGAGAGCTTTCGAAAGCGTGGGATTCCTCCAAGGCCTCGGAGAGCGTGTCGCAGGCAGGCCGGTCGCGAACGAGAAGGACCTCGAGCATACCCAGCAGAATATCGTCGAAGAGCCCGTAGCGAAGATCATCGAGATCCTCAGGAGCGACCATACGACCCTGCGTCAATTCGACCTCGGCGGCGGCATAGTGTTCGACAACCACCCGAATGGCCTTAGCGATGGCGCCGAAGGGCCGTCTCAGCGGCGTGCACGCCACAAAGGGAACCAACTCTATGCCGACCAGGTATGCGTTTACAGGCATGACGAGACGAAACTAATCAACGAACACTTGCTTTGGTGGTAGAGAACAAGCCACTACACAAACACATCTTCGTCTGGGTCTTCGGCGATGATCCGAATGCAATACGGTCTTCCACACCGCAACACAGACGACATTGACCTGGTCGTGCAGCCAACGGACAGTATCACCGCCGAGAGCATATCAACGTGGCTCTTACAGAGCTATCCGACGGCATTCGTGACAAAGTCTGTTCATGGCGTGTTGGTTCCGGCTCTGAGGTTCCAGCGATCCGATGGATCAGTGAAAAACTTTGAAATCGAGATATTCGACGTCGGGGCCTGGCCTCAACGTTCTCAGTACGATCTCAGCAACCCCGCCAACGAGGTCGTTCGGATCCTCATCTCTGGGTTCGAAGTTCCTGTCTTTAGTGCTCGGTGGCTTCTGAGGGAGAAGATCGTTACGGCCCTTGAAAGGCAAGGAAGCAGGAAAGAACGCACGGACTTGGAAGATGCGTGTGCTCTTGTCCAGGTTGTCGACATAACCAGTCTCGACTTAACAGGGCATGCCGAAGCCGTCCAGCATATACTGACTAAGAAGCCTGACTACCGTCAGCAGCTGGAGCTTAAGATTATTTGTCCGGATGTTCTAGGGCGTTCGTGGACATGGAATGAGAGTGCTGGAGTATACTGGCGCCTCGAGGGGGACCAGCTGCGTTACATGGACGATGAGGTGAAGCGGCACAAGTTCAAGTGGGAGGCAACTGCAGGAGTCCGGTACTTCAAAGTAAGTAGCGGCACATGGTACTACAACGGCGATGATGGCGACATTGCCTTCTGGGGTTGAGTGTTGGCGTTGCTGATGGGCCAGGGAACGGACGTGGAGGTTGAACTAGGGATAGGGCTGTAAATTGTTGTATATGCTAGCAAACGCTACTCCTCTACCTCAACGGCAAACACTTCAACCAGCTCCCGCTGGGCGACGAAAGTGGTGAACTCATCCATGAAGTCTGCCGTGATAACCCCGGCCGGGACCAAATGCTGGCCCTCGCCGAACTCGAAGGGGACTAGTTTGTTGCCTTCCACGTGATATGTCAAAGCGTGCGTGTTGCCGAGGTCGACTCTGTCGAGCGGTACTGGAGGAGTCATTCTCGCGCCGGCAAGAAGATGGCCAATATCCTTCTCGATTCTGACGGTGTCGGTCGGGAGGGGATCATGGCGATGTAAATTGTACACACCTACCAGATGACCTAGGCCGTGGCGGAGGATGATCCCGAGCAGTCCATGGACAGCGTCGCGATCGATCTCCTCCTTGTAGCGAGTCTCGATATGGGGGAGGCCATTGTAGCTACAGATACAATGAGTCAGTACAGAGCGGGCAGAATAGTAGTTGGGGTTCTAACACTTCGTGGCTGCGCCTCATGTCATCCATGGTGAGGGGTGCGCTAAAGCCGGGAACGGCAGCGGGGTCCATGTAATCGACAGCTGCCATGGTGAATGCTTGGGAAAGTTCTTAGTGGGAGGTGATAGAAATAAAGCGATGCAGACCACTTTTCCTTTCCTCAGAGTAGCTGCCAATTCTGCTCCGGACACTGTTGAACCAAACTGTAACAATGGGGCTTACTTGGTAATGCTTAGTCGTTAGGTCTGTCATCGGATAAGTTAGGCAATAACTTATTGCCAGTCTTAAGCAGTGTGTCTTAAAATGATTGTTAAGAAGCTTTGTAGACTTTTTTTTTTAATCGTGGTAGAATGCTTAGATTGCGATAACAGCCCGTTCCCCTGGGTATAATCGTAGGTAGTCCATACCGGAGGGTTGTTCGCATACAAAGAAAGGTATCGTATGCTCCAAGGTGGGGTAAGAAATGGGAGGAGGCAAGTCTTGCGCGTTGTCTCTCAGGAGCGATTGGCAAAAAGACGTCCAGTATGAAAGCATCTGAGTTTGGATGGCCTCAAAGCCACAAGTAATGCTTGTTACTGACAGCAAGCCGTCGCGCGCGTTGCCCAAAAGCATCGTATTGTCTTAGTAGTCGGCAGGGTTCGCAAGATCAGCTGTTGATGCTGCCGCTGATTAGAGGCAGAACGCGTCGGCCTCGCTGTCTTGACACTTCTCTAAAATTCGAGTTCCATCATTGACAAAATGCCTGGTAATAGGATTTCGCGGGATTGGTAGAGCGAAACACGTCGCATCGACACCATACGATTGTACAACCACAGCGTTATGAGTGCTTAGGTCGCTGTACAATTTGATCGTGCTGTTGATTGGGCGTGGACAGGAGACTAATTCCGTGAGGCAGAGGTCGAAAGGGATCGCCTTCTGAGCAGCGTATTGTAGATGCGATGAGGCTGGCACGTCCTTTATGGACGGAGACTAGACTATGTATGAAGATGGTGATGAACAATAGCTCAGAAGAGAAGGAAGATGATGAGTTCTCTATCTGAAGAACATGCTGATGCTATGGAAAAGAAGGAAGAACGCGATAGCGCGAAGATGCTGCCTTTGAGGGCAGCTGTGGGCCGAATGTGTGGCTGACTAATCAAGGCAAACCTGCCTAACAAACAACACCGCCCCTCAGGCTCACAATAAGGCCATCAAGACCTCCAAAAACAGTGCTCACAAACAAATCCATAGTGTTTTTTTCTTTCGTAATTCATGCGTTCGTGATCATTACTACGTGCGTTCATTCATTCATTAGTTATACCGAGCAGTCGGCAGAAGTTCGCGTGATTCGTGCGAAGGAGAGGTTTAGTAAGGCCATCGGCAGCCATATCAGCTATGCCGACCTAGTTGATCGTGAAAGTACCCTTCTAAGTCATAGCGATAATCCATTTAAACCTAATATCAATATACCTCGTGCGTGCCGCTTGTGAAGGATTAAGAACGGCATATTTGGCGTTCTGGCTGTCAGTGTGCAGGAGCATTAGGGTCACCTATTAAGCCGCGCCGAGATCGTGAAGCACATCTCGAACCCAGATAGCAGCCTGGCCGGCTGGGGTTAGGTTAATAAACTCTGCCTCAGTCAATAACAATATCACCAGACTCTACTTCTTTGATTTCCATATAACAGGACTATTTACAAGGTATACCACAAATCCTACCGTGGAAATACGGTCATAGGGATTATCTACGAAAGATACATCCGCGAATACACGAAGCTTTAAGTCGCGGGGATTATACTTACCTCCGAGCATAATGCCTATATTCTTTATGCCGTTAAGATACCGCGATAGATACTTAAAGATCGTACCGTGAACTTCCTTTAGGCTATTATTAGCCTCGTATAGCTTATTAACTGTATATGCGATATTAGGGCGGGTACCAATAGACAACTAATTCAGGCTGCCGGTGCGCTTAAGCCACTATTTCGGCTATATAATATTAAGAAGTAACTTCTAGTTAGATAGAAGGGTGGTCTTCGGGGGCCAGGGAGTCTATACTAAGTATATTCCAGGATTAGCGAACTTCGCTATCAATCCCTCGGTATAAGTAGTCTAGTAGATAAAGATAGTGCGGTTATTCCTATTACGGGTGAATTAAAGGCCGAGGAACTACTTAACCTCTCTAATACGCTTTATATTAAAGATACCTTCCAGGGCGACGAGGACTTCCTCGATAAGTAACTTATAAGGGGCTGCGATAATCATATCATCCACATAAACAAGGAGCTTCACTCCATCATCGCGGATAAAGATATATAACTCTATGTCAAGGGGCTTAAACCCTAACTTCTTGAGTTCTTTAGTGAGGCATTCGAACCACCATAATAGAGCCTCACGCAGGAGATAGATAGCCTGGTTAACCCGAAGGACCCGGTCTATGCTATCTGAGTGTCCCTGAGGTTATTTAATAAATATAGGCCGCTTAGCCCCGGCGTATAAGAAAGCTATAACGAAGTCGACTTAGAACCATTCGTCATCAATGATCGCGACATAGGTACAGAAGATCCTAACTAACACCATGTGTGCAACTACCGCGTAAACCGTGATCAGAGCATAATACTCTCCGCGTTCCATATCCCCACGAGCGACAAGGCGTGCCTTAATAAAAGGTTCGGCGTCGACGGGTGTTTTCTTCGTATAAACCTATCGTGTTAGAATTACTAGCGATTTAGGGCGATCCACCATAGTGAACACGCCTCGCAGTGCCATTATATCAAGCTCCCGCTATTCGGCCGGTCGAATGACCTTATCGTAGTCGGAACGCTTGATAGCCTGGTGCCAATTCTTAGGCATATCTATTAATGCTAGCAGGGATATCTAGCCAGCCTTGATAGCTAACAAGCAGAATATACGCAACCCTGGAACCTCGACGTCTCGGTCTCGATAAAGGTCTATAGCTATGAAACCTCTGCGCTTACCTATAGTATGTAATTACTTATAATTAACGCGCTCGGTCCTTCTGCTTAAGCGACGTAGAGGTGCCTTTTCTTCGTTAAAGGCTCTAGGCATTCTTAGTCTATTATTATAATCATTATAATCATCCTGCTGGTCGGGTGGGTTGGTAAGTAATTGATCCTCTAGCATGCGGGTAATCTTATCCTTATCTAGATCGCTGTCGGTAGCAGGCGTTAGCTCTAGGGTCATAGGAGCATAAGGCTCTCTATCCTTAGGTGAAGTCTTTATTAACAGCCGAGGCGTGATATCGTTAGTCTGGCTGTCTGTTTAGGGAGTGTGGTCCTCGCCTTATAGTGATTCCTCGGGGACTAGGTAAGTCGTAGGTTCAGACGTATAGATATCCTCGTTCGTGAAGACTATACGGCCTTCTTTTACTATTTCTAGGTTAATAAGGGTGGCTTCGAATTCGAAGTCTTCGATATCCCTTGTCGACGGCGTGGACTCGATAAATCGTATATCGCGGGCCCGAATAATACGCTTAAGGCTAGGTATCTAGATCTTAAAGATACGGGTATATACGCCTTTAATGCCCACGAGGCGTCCTTTCCAGGCGCGCGGAGCTAGCTTTTCTAACGCCTTACGCCGTTCCTTTAGAATACGCACGTAGGCTATATATCCCTAGGTGCGGATAGCTCGAAGGTCGTATTAGTAGTTAAGACCTATGATATCGAATATCTTCTTGATCGGCGGCTCTGAATTATCGTTAGCCGCGGTCGGTATGTGGTTCGTGATATAGGCCGTATGTTTAATTACTAAGGGCTATAAGTGTTAAGGAATGTTAGCGTTAATGTAATCAGCCCGTGCCGAGTCTATCGGAGTGCGGCCGGCACGCTTAACCTTACCCTAGTGGGCAGATACGTAAGGGGCGCCTATCTTAACGATAATACCCTTTGCCTTAGCCTAGTTAACTAGGCTATTAATAAGTAATTCGGGTGCGTTATCGTAATAAAAGACCTGAACTTTAAAGCCTCTAGAGGTATTCTCGATAGCGGCTGTCTAATCCTTGATTTTCGTGGCAGCCTTAGACTTCGCCGCCACCGACTTTACCTAGTGGTAGTTAGTATGATAGTTAATTAAATACAGTAGGAACTTAGCGCTATTATAGCCCACTAGCGTGATCGTGATAATATCCCAATAGATATAAGATAGGAAGGATAACTATTAAATAGACAGCGATCGGTTGACTATTTGATCTACCTTCGCTAACTGACACGCTTTATAGTAGAAGTTAGCGATACTGTCAGGTTTAATCCGAATTCTAGCTAAACAGCAGGCCTTAAGGATACGATCCTTGGATACGTGACCTAGGCGGCGATATATTAATACGTACTCGATATCCTGGGTTATAGTATTATAGGGTAATGCCGCGAAGTTATATTACGGCTGTTGTTTATCTACGTGTAAGACAGCGATATATTGCTTCTATTCGTATTCGCCGAGGACTGTGCTGTTATTCTTATGAACCAGGGCATCACGGATACTATCTATAATAATGCCGTTCTTACGTAAAACGCCTGGACTGAGCATATTAGCGGCAGCTTCGGCTGCGAAGTTAACCTCACGAAGATATAAGGTGCCTCCCCCGGTCATATAGACTTCGGCCGTGCCGATCGTAGTTACTTGCAAGCCTTGGCCGTTGTAAGCCGTTATACTATCTAGTCGCGATAGTTCCTTAAGGTATATGAAGTAGGAACGGTTATTAAGCACGTGTATGCTATATCCTAAGTCGACGATAAAGTCTTCCTTAGTGATACCTTTATTAGTAAAAGGTTAGCTATTAAACGATATAAATACGAAGCTTATGCTATCTCTATTTCTAGAATTATTATTCGAATCAAAGGCTAATACACTAAAAGCGTTAGTAATTCTAGCGTTAGCCTTGGACTTATTATTATTATTCTAACTATTCTAGTTAGATTACTTTCCACGTCTATTACCGCCGCCGTTATTATTATTATTATTATTATTATTCCTTAAACGGTTATTATTTAGCCAGCCTTTAGGAGCTTTCTCGGGGTGAAGTTTCTAGTATTTTTCGCGAGTATGTCGACGAGCACGAGGGCGTACTATACAGCCGTAGGATAGGATCTCGTCCTT